GCTTTTGACTATTTAAAGTGATTATTAACTGTAGCAGTTATTAGGCTATAAAATATTGGGGAAGTCCCAGGATATCCTCCATAGTTTTACCAGTTACATAATTTACCAGCTACGCCTGTCCTCCTCGGTGGGGGCAGGGATGTAAGGCATTATTCATCATTTGCTTCACATATCTGACTTTGAATCTTCACAAGAATTGAGAATCCTTGTGAGAAACCTTTTAAGAGTAAATAATATCATGAATTGAATTCAGGTTTCTACAACACTGTTGTGAGATCTAACCACCATGCCCCACTGGTTAATTTGTTCTTGTGCTTTTTTAAACCAGCCTCTCTGCTCCCTGGTATTAATGACTGCCTTACACAGAGTCCCTTTAAAGGCCTCTTAGAAATGGTGAAACCCAACCCAATGTTACTGTCAAAGGCAATCTGATCTCCATATACACAAAGACAACAGGTTGTGCTCACAGGGTATAGGGGGGAGGGGAGAGACATGCTAACATCTGCTATGCCTTTAGTAGCTGCTTCTATAGCAGGTATCCAGGTTTACTTCTCCACTGTCAGATCCTTAGTGAAAGCACTGAGCGTCTACTGAGTATAGGCATAGAATCTATTTCAACAGCTATTGGGGATATGACTGGAACAAATCTAATGATAGGAACCTAATAATTCTTTCCAAAAGATCAGCCACAGCCATATAAGAAAAGTTCCCAAGATTCAAATATATTTAAATTTACATTGTATGTTTTGAAGTTTCACTACAAAATGTACAGTAAATATGCAGCATTGATAGAAGCTCCAGCTGTGCAGCTGGAAGTCAGTTGTGTCCCATGGCAACACTGTTGCCCCTCCATCCTAAATGCATGTCTTCATCTGTCTGCCCACTCTCACTCACTCTCATTGCTGATCTTGTGGGAGTTAAGCCTAATAAACAGACACCTGATCAGTAGCGTCCCCTGGCTAGTATGGACCTGTCCTTTCTGTCATTCCAGATTAAAGTTGACAGGAAACAGAGCAACACAAAAGAAAATTAATTATCTCTAAAAGGATTAGATGGGTGGACACCTCATTAATCCATTTGTTAATGCTGGCTATACTAGCTCAAGGGCCATTCTGTGTTCCATGTTTACTGCATTATGTTAATGTCTAGGTAGGGTCCACCCAGAAAGCCGCTGTCAGTGATGGACAAATGTGATCCAATATAGGAGTGCTATCATTGAAGGACTTGAGAGGACTTTGAGTAATATTTACAGAAGTTTGAGGTGGTCCCAAAATGGAACTGCCTCCTTCTCAAGATGCTAACCTTTATCATCTCCAGTTGGAACTGGACAAAAGTTGTTCAGTATTGTCAGGTCTAAGATTGGCTTCTTGAGAAGAGAATCCACCACCACCTTCTTCCAGGCAAGTAGAACTATGTTCTCCCACAAAGAGGCATTGACCATTACTTGGACCCAACTCATACAACCTTCTGGGAGGCTTTATTCAGTCAGGAGGGGCATGGCTCTGGAACACAGGCGACTATGCTCACAAGAACAAGGACTCTATGCAGCCCCTTCAAAATCAGTCAGCTCAAACCCTTCCTAGATAATGAGCTAGGGCAAGCCCAACCAAGTCAAACTCCAAGTGAAACTGAGTGATTTTGTCCAATAGAAACCTAGAATAACCTTCACAGCAGTTCTGTGAGGGATTCTGCTTGTTCCTCTTTAAATAGAAGGGACCTGGTCATCAAGAATGAGGCTTCTGGCTGTTTCGTCTGGATGCAATAAGCAGAAAAGCAAGCATACTTTGCCACTCTTATCAATACAAATAATTGGTTTCGCTCTGTTTTTCTCCAGCACTGTTCTAGATGTCTGTCACAAAATACCCCAGATCTCCATAAATCAGGGGACTGTCTAGGATCCATGATCACAGAGAATCTGTACAGATACAGGTGCGATCCAACCTAAAGCCCTCATACTCATTCCAAGCTGCAACTAAGGTCTTGTGCCAGAGATTCAGTAATCATTCCAAGCCCCTCTGAAACCGCTACTGGTTCTATCAAATACCTGGAGTAGCTTAGGTTCTTCTTCCTTCCTGAAATGAGGAACAGTTACAGAGAACCCTGGATACAAGAGACATTGATCTATGATAGGGATGTTAAACTCACAAAGTCATGACATCACATGACATATCATGACTTTTTTCCCCTTCATTAAACCAAGGTTGGACATGGCCAGCACGTGATGCATCCAGCCTGCAGGCCATGAGTTTGACACTCCTGATCTATCACAAGGGACGGATGTTAACATACCCTAAACAAAATAATCTCGGCTGAGACCTGATCTGTCCCTGAATTGAGGATTACCATCTTCAACATAACCCATAGTTCTGAGGTGCAATGGAATATCATCCCAGCTTCCAGTGACTTGATCTTCCTCCCTCTGGGTATTTCCCAGCACATCTTCCCCTATTATAGCTGGGCTGTCTAATTAGATATAAGCCAATTCACAGCCACAGTCTGAGTACCCAAGAGATCCATGGGCCCTTTGCCTGGCTATTAATAGCCGTTATACCTTGTGGGGATGACGTCAGGAAGAAAGACAAAGAAAATACAGGTAGTTATTGGAGAAGGTGTAAGTTATATAGCTGCAATGATAGGATGTCATCAGTTTCCCAAATTAATATCAAAGCTTGCATTGAGGCTAGGTTCTCACTTTGCACTACATTATTTTATTTATTTGTTTGTTTGTATTCCACCTTTATCATTTTTACAAATAACTCAAGGCAGTGAACATATCCAGCACACTTTCCTATTTTCCCCACATCAGCAACCCTGAGATAGGTTGGGCTAAGAGAATGACTGGCCCAAAGTAACCCAGCTAGCTTTTATGTCTAAGGTGGGACTTGAACTCACAATCTCCCTCTTTCTAGCCTTGTGCCTTAACCACCAGATCAAACTGACTCTCGTCCTTATGATTTATTTGATTTTTATTTAGTATAAATATAATCCACATTTAGCAACCATAATTAGGACTGGCAGTTTGGTTGCTAAGTGAAGTGGTCGCTAAGAGAAACCATGACTGTGCTTACGATCTTATTTCAGCCTTCTGTTGCTTTACAGACCTGCAAAGGTCATAAATACAAGAACTGGCTGCAAAGTTAACTTTTTCATCACCATTGTAATGGATGTTAAACAAGTCAGTTGCTAAATGAAGATTACTCTATGTATATTAACTCAAGAAGACGCAATGGCTCAGCGGTTAAACTTAAAGACACTGAGCTTGTCAGCTGGAAAGCTGACAGCCCAGGTTTGAGACCTGAGCACTGGGCAATGGGGTGAGCTCCCATTACTTGCCACAGCTCCTGCCCACCTAGCAGTTCAATAGCATGCAAATGCGAGTAGATAAATAGTTGCCACTTTGGTGGGAAGGTGACAGCATTTTATGTGCCTCGATGTGTAGCCATACTGGCCACACAAATGTCTTCATACAAGACAGGCTCCCTCAACTAGGAAACAGATGAGCATCGCCCCCTAGAGTCTCAAATTATTAGACGGGGGAAACATTTACCTTCTTAGAGAAGTTTCTCTTAGAAGTGCAGGTAATCGTCACTTAATGACCCTAACTGGGACTAGCAACTCTGTTGTTAAGTGAAGTGGTCATTAAGCAAAACATCACATTACTTTCCCCGCTTAGAGACAGCTGTTCTGGCAGTACCTGTTGCCATCATTAAGCAAAACCCACATGGTCAGTAGACAAGGACCCACCCCAATCCAAGCCATTTCTGACTTGGCCCCTCCCAGCCTCAAGCCTGTTTTTCCATGGCAAGGGACTGTCTACCCTTCAACTTCTACATCTACCTAACTTCACACCCACCCACCCATTTCTGCCCATTTGGTCATCAAGGGACTAAGACAACTCATCGCAGCCAACTTACCACGATACATTTAAAAATTGTTGTGAAAAGATCATAAAATGAGGCACAACTCACTTAACAATTGCCTTGCTTAGCAACAGAAATTTGAGCAAAATTGTGGTTATAAGTTGAGGGCCACCTCTACCTATACATGACTTTGAGATGATGAGAGGAAAAATAACTGGGTGGCAACTCCAGACCATTTGGAACACGTATAACAATCCTGCTGGCCTTTCTGCCCCAGTATCCTTTCAGGTTTCTATTTCTCAACCTACTGACTTGTTTCACCTCGTTTCACCTTGAGGTTCTAAGATCTTCCAACTAAAGAACAAATATAGACTCCTAAAGCAGGGTATATTGGATTAGAAAGAATTTACGTAAAGGTAGGCAGATTGTGGCCCCCATATGTTTTGGATTATGCCTTTCATAAATCCCTAGCAACATAATAGGTGATGGTTAATCACTGAAGTACATTAAATTGCCTCCCTTTGAGCTAGCAAATGCCAGTTACCAGGCAACTAGCGTTGAGCTTGAGGGAAAATCTTGCAATTGAGGGTATTACATTTCATGGTTACAGATAACGAGTCCTGAAGCAAGGTAACATTTTGCACAGAATCTTTCTAAAATAAGGACAGAGATGAATATGTAGTATGAAGTCCAGATCTGTGATCGAAGCATTGTTGCCAGTATAATGTGCCTCTTTCTTTGTTTCTCTTTTCTGGCGGCAAACAGATTTGCAGAGTTTTTGAAATACTACCAGTTCTCTTTGGCCAGGGACAAAGGTAGAAGAGAATTTATTAGCAAACATCCTACCTTGTGCAATAATGCTATGATTATATCTCCCTCGGTTTTACTCTTTGGTGTCCAAGTTATTTCCTGGTTCCTGTCTGCTGTTTGGAGGTTCTGTCATGTTTCTTCTCTGTTGCTCCTTTGCGACAGAAGGGCAAGAGAAAAGAATTGAAAATGTGATGTGACTGCAAAATGTTCCCCTTGGATAAAAATACTTGGCATACTCTTCATTTCATTATCTCCCTTGTTAAGATTTGTTTCTGCCTCTTCAGTAAAACGCCTAACATAATTTATCAAAATCCCAATCCATTCCTGCAGATGATTGTGCTAATGGACCCAATGGAGGACCCTGATGATGTGCTCCGTGCCAACCGGTCACGAGAGAAATCCTATCTGTTTGATGTAGCCTTTGATTTTGCTGCTACTCAGGTGAGGCCTGCCCCCCAGGCATTCCAAACAGAGCAGAAACTTTTTTGAACCCTGACTTTTAAAAATATATTGATAAAAAGCAGTGTGTCGAGAGGCCAAGAATTTGTGGCAGCAGATTGACAGAGAGAGGAATTAAGTGAATAACTAAAGTTCACCTTATATTACAGGAGTGGGCAACTATGGCCCTTTCAAGATCTGTGGACTTCAACTCCCAGAATTCCTGAGTCAGCTCAGTATGTTCAGGAATTCTGGGAGTTGAAGTCCACGAGTCATAAAGGGCCCATAGTTGACCCCCCCTCAGTATACATGGATGTTATGCTTGTTATTTTGTGTGTGTGTGTGTGTGTGTGTTATTAATTTTGAGCCAAATCACCCTCCTCTTTTTGAGAAACATTTAAGGAGTCCCATCTACTTTGACCCACTAAGTTGTGGGGGTGGGAAGAAGCACATCCAGACATTGCTTGAAGAAAAACACATAAACAGTTTCTTACACAGCTCCTCTTTTTCTAATCTCATATTTCTGACTTTTTTTCATACAAAACAAGGCAAAGGATACTCTACTCTGTTTGCTCAACTTTATTGCTTTACTGCCTGCTACTGCTTGTGTCAGCGGTGGTACAAGTATCTGGTGGGCCAAACTGTGAGCTCCATTTTGAAGGTAGACTGAAATTGAAGCTCCTGAGTGAGATCTGTTCCTCCTCTGCCAGGTATTATTCGTGGGCTGAGAATCAGGGGAGCAGAGAAGGAGTAGGGTAAGAAGAGTTTTGTGAGATATAGTAGATGACTAGAAATACAGAACCCAAATCTCTTGCCTTTTGGATGAACCTATTTTTTCAACCATTGATCGTCGTTTTTCAGAATGTGTTGGAAGTCATCATGGCCCATTTTGTGTGGATGTATATATAGCCAATATTGACATTCCATGTTTCTTAGACCAAGACATTTTTAAAGAAGAGATACAAGCATTTCAAGCGAAGAAGAGAGCCGACAAGTGCCAAGGGGGAGAGAGAATCAAGTCCTTTTTATTTTATTAATTTAGCTCAGAAGGAGAGTTTCAGCTTACTGCCTTCCCAGCCAAAGGGAAGTGCCTTGTTTTAACTCAGCTGTTTCAGATCTATAAATCTAGTTCATTTTGGCCTGCTTAACCACTGTCAACCCCGGAGCAATAAATCTGACATATATGGGACTGCCCCAAATAGTTGCTCTGTGTGCTATTTATTTATCTGTATCTCAAGATACATTCCAGCTTCTTCAGTCAATGATCCATGGGCAGAATGGTTAGATTGCATGCCAGATAGCAAGGCAGTAGCAACACCAAACTGAAGGCATAAGAGGAATAGATAAAGTTCAAGGATATCCATAGTAAAAAAAGTTTAAAAAGTCAATTTGGCAATCATGTCTGTGCAGTTGAAGCCTTACCTCTGTTATACATGTGTCCATTTCACACACAGGTATTCAATTGTGCACTTATAATTGCCATCTTGACTTTTTCTATCCCTTTTGTAGATATGTCTGATAAAGTTCATTGCTATCCATACCTTTATCTTTAGAGCAATTACTTCTTCCCTAAAAGTAAGTTCTTTCATGTTTTTCATCTATTCATATCTCTTCATCTCTCCCTGCAGGAAATGGTCTATCGTGCCACCACTAAAGGACTCATAGAAGGGATCATCTCTGGCTACAATGCAACTATTTTTGCCTATGGCCCAACAGGTAAAAACATAGGCTCAGTTCTGATTGAAGCTGTCTATTTCATTTTCCAATGAGTTGGTAACAACCAAGCTCTGGTTGCTATAACTGTAGACTTCTGTAGTCTTGCAAGCATAGACTGTATAGTCCTGGAAGCAATTGGACTCAGCTGAGAAATACTGCTTCCTTTGTGGTAATGAATGCAGAGCAATATTCTTTGCATGGGAAATAGAAGACGGCCAAAAAGAAAACATATTTGGACCACGTGTTTTAATTCATTGCTTTTTTCAGGCATGCATACCTTAGTATTGATAGAAGAGAATTTTTGTAGCTCAGGATTAAACTGTGGCGTCCTTGGTGCTGTATCAGCTTGGTTGTTTTCTTGCAGATATTTCATTGCCAAACTAGGTAACATTATCAGTACTAGTAGAGAGTGGAGTTTGCTCTCATTGTATATATTGGTGGTTTCTTCTGTCAGTGTCATTGAGAGTGGTCTTGGTGGTTCCTTAATTGGACTATTTGCTTATGATTAACTTATTTGTCTGAATTGGTAATTCCTTGATTGGGGTATTGTTTGCTTCTTAATTGTTAGTCTACCATTACTCTTGGTGTTAATCTCTGTTCATCTAGATATTGGTTCTGGTGAGGTGTTCTGGTCTTTTTGTTTCCTTTTTGATTGTCTTTTTTGAATGGCACGTAGATGTTACTTATCTCTATGTGACTGTTGATTGACAGTTTGTCTGAGTGCCAGGCTTCCAGGAATTCTCTAGTGTTTGGGGGTTTGGCTTGGTCTAGGATGCTCATGATTTCCCAGTTGAAACTATGGTTAAGTCTGTCCATGTGTTGTGAAATTAAGGAGTTTTCATCATGTCTTCTTACTACTAGTTGGTGTTCATGGATGTGTTCTGCTAGTCTTCTGCCTGTTTGTCCGATATAGTGGCTGTTACAGTCGTGTATATTGGTCTCCAGTCCCCAGTCTGTGGACTGGTACCAGTCTGTGATCTGCTGGGAACCAGGCTGCACAATCGGCAGGTGAGCATGCAAAGCTCCACTTGTACAAGTGGCAGACAAGTGTGCTAAAACACCCTCTCCTCCCCCTGCTGCTGCTGCCGCCACTGCTGGTCCAGAAAAGTTGGACACCTCTGTTGTAGGTGACTCCTGGTTTTTTTTCCTAGGGCTACTGGGTCTTTCCATTTACTTAGAGTGTTTGGGAGGGATTTAATTGGTTTGTGTGCCACAGTGATACCATGTGGTACCTCAATATTGTTTGAAAACAGAACACCCTCATTGATTAATTGCAGGCTAACTGGAAGCACAAAGATATAAATGTCTCTTCATAAACAAAGTCATTTGTTCATTTAACCTTTATGCTGTTCCGTAACTTCAATCAGAGGTTGGCCTATAGCTCGGAAAACACATTTTTTTGCAGTCACTATAGTGGTTAAAGCACCAGGCTAGAAATCAGGAAACTGTGAGATTTAGGCATGAAAGCTCTCTTAGCCCAACTTACCTCATAGATTGTTGTTGAGGGGAAAATAGGAGGAAGGAGTATTAAGTATCTTCACCATCTTGAATTATTTATAAAAATAATAAAGACGGGATTTTAAAAAATCTAAAAAAAAAGAACACAAGGCTCCTTTCAAAGAAAATGTAATGACAGTTTTGGATCATCCCAGAATGGAAATCCCATTTTATCAACCATTTTTCTGATCTCTTTCCTTACACCTCAGGCTGTGGAAAGACCTACACCATGCTTGGCACTGATCATGAGCCTGGCATTTATGTCCAGACACTCAATGATCTCTTCCATGCTATTGAGGAGACCAGCAATGACATGGAGTATGAAGTCTCCATGTCCTACCTGGAGGTAGGTCACTTTGAAGGAGTCAGAAAGGAAAATGAATGAATGAATGAATGAATGAATGAATGAATGAATGAATGAATGAACGAACGAACGAAATAAGATTGCTCAGTTATCTTTCCAGGAACAGAGAGACAATCCTTCAGTTATATAGTGTGTGATTTCCCAATTTCTGTTAATTGATACAAGTATTTTTAACCCATGAGTTTTGAGTACGTCAACATCTATTTTTGTGAAATCTGATGTGACTCGCTTAATACCCGCCTTGCTTAGCAACAGAGATTCTAATCCCCATTGCGACTGTAAGTTGAAGGCTACCTGTATACAAAGGGACATGTATACCAAGGGACAAACCAATAAGCTAGTGTGCCAGGCATGTATTGAATTCATATTCATTTACACATTAAGTGGTATGTATCTCCTTCTACTTTGCCTGAGTGGTGAAAGGTTACATGGGACCCTGTCATTTTTTCTTCTTGTCCAACATATCCTGTCCTCTTCAGCCTTTCCGCCTTTATGGCTGATGTATACTTCATATGGTATGTTGAGATAATTTCCATGGCAACCCATTAGGACTCATGCTTGTATAATATTGACTCGCATTAGCAGCCTCGAATAAGCAGCACTCAGCAACAAAACAGGAAAAGCAAGAAGTAGTGGCTAGAAGAAAACCCTGAGCACAGCAAAACTTTCCTGAAGGAATGAAGGTCACTTTCTCCTTTTTCCCCTCAACTCTGTCCAAATGTTTGAAAGTGGAGTGACCATCTTTCCATTTTGCTTCCTTTTTGCTTTGGAAATCCAGGTTTTCCTATCTTCTTGTCTCTCAAATCAACTTTCCTGTGTTTACTCAGAAATTAAACCAAAATATTTCTGATTTGGCATACAGCTCATTGTATCAGCTCATTTATATATGTCTGCAGTGCACCACATTGAATCTGCTTGACGATGTGATTCAGACTGTGACTTTTGTTTAGCATTTGCAGCAGCATTTCAGATTTAAAAAATCCAGGCTGCATTCAATGCACAGAAAAAGTAACGGTGGCACTGCCTGATTGCCAGCTAATCCAGTAAGCTGTTGTTGGTAGGATTCTAGGTGTTGCAAATTGGTATTAGGTCTTAGAACTCAAATGTAGAGATGCTTCTGTTCTGTGACTTCATAGAGTGTTTTAAGAACTGACACTTTGAGCTCTTCCCGGTGTTTTCCCCCGTCTCTGAGAAGAGAAGGATGCATCTAAGAAGGCAGTGAGAAAGAAACCAATTTCTGTCTATTCTGAAGCCTACCAGTATATATTTTTTCCCAAGCTGCTTACAATTCCCCAGTTCCTTACCATAGAATTTTTCTCTTGTTCTTTTAATTAGATTTACAATGAGATGATCCGAGACCTCCTGAACCCTTCCTTGGGCTACCTGGATTTGCGTGAGGATGCTAAAGGTTTCATCCAAGTGGCTGGAATCACAGAAGTCTCAACCATCAATGCTAAGGAGGTGAATTGGAATAAACCCTGCAAAGGTTCAGAAAAAAACCCATGCTGATTGCCAAATGCAGTCTTGCAACATAGTAATCCTAATTATTAATATAACTTTCTTCAAGAGGCTAACATGGATTAGTCACTATGATAACTAGTCTGATGTGATTGAACATCCAAATCCAGTCCATTTGGTTTAAACAACTGGCAAATTTGGTTAGAGTAACAGTTCCTAACCCAGTTTTTTTGTTTCTCACAATGACTGTGACTCTTTGACTTCTCCTTGGAGGACATTGTCAACCCAGAATCCCCAGAAAGCATTCTGTTTAATGTCCCACAAATAAAATCAAAACCTTTTCTTCCTTTCCCCTTTTTAATTCTTGTACTATATTTCCATGACTAGAGTTGAGAACTTCACTTGTTTGTTCTGTCACTTGGTGGGATATAAGACAGGTATTAAGCTGAGGAATATGAGTGTTCGTGTTTGGAGGCAGAAAAAGAAACACAACTGAGATGGAACAAGAAATTTAGTCTTTTTCACTATGTATTGGTGAAAGGAATTAAAATCAGATTGATATTCCCTAGTACTGTGGTAGCACAGAGATTTCAAAGAACAGAGTCAAATTGTAATTTTTGCTTGTTCAAAAATCCATCTCACAAGTAATAATTCCAAGCAAATGAACATAATTTTGCAGTTTTAACTAATTTAGTTACAAAAACCACTGCTGCAAGTCCCTTGACCTCGCTTCTTTTCAGTTAAAGAATGTTTTGGGCAGCCTTCCCCAAGCCATTTGAGCTAAAAATAATGGGTATTGTGGACCAATGTACCACATGGCACAATATCAAAGGAAATTTATTTAGTTAGTATTCACTTCATTGCAGCAGGGTTCTGGGAGAAACATATTGTGTGAAGAAATTTTGCAAAGAATTGCTCTCTTAGTAATTAGTAAAACAAAACAAAACAAAACAAAAGCCTTAGAAAGCCTTAGTAAGATCACACTTGGATGCATCCAGTTTTGTTCACCATATTATAAAAAAATTAATACTCTGGAAAGAGTGCAGAGAAGAGCAAAAAAGATGATTAGGGGCCTAGAGGCTAAAACATATGAAGAACAGTTGTAGGGAATGTTTAGTCTAGTGAAAAGAAGGACATGGGGTGACATGATAGCAATGTTCCAATATTTGAGGGGCTACCACAAAGAAGAGGGAGTCAAGCTATTCTGCAAAGCACCAGGTGGCAAGACAAGAAATAATGGATGGAAATGAATCAAGGAGAGAAGCAACCTAGAACTAAGGAAAGATTTCCTGGCAGTTAGAAGAATTAATCATTGAAATGGCTTGCCTTCAGAAGTTGTGGGTGCTACAACACTGGAGGTTTTAAGAAGACATTGGACAGCCATTTGCCCAGAATGGTATGGGGTCTCCTGCTTGAGCAGGGGGTGGACTAGAAGACCTCCAAGGTCCCTTCAAACTCTGTTATTCTGTGTCTGTGGTTCTTCTACATCTCTTAGCTTGTTCAGTTGCCCATTTTCTGCTTTCAGTCCCCGTGAAGTTCCATAAAATTCCCTATACTGGGACTCAAAGTTCCCTTTTGCCTTTTCCTGGTGATGGTGTTATTTTATAGATGGAAGTCACTTTGGCTTGATACGTTATTAGAGATAGAAGGCCTTTTGCTGACTAAGGCCTGATGAATGCCCACAATTGCTTTCCATTACCAAGTCTTTAATATGCTAACCCATGTCCCACCCTCTTTGAGGAAGGGAAAAAGGAGTTTCTGTTTCAGAATTGTCCCTTTATATAACTATTGCTACCAGGGCACAATCGGTTGCAATAAATCCAGTCAGGAAAAAAGAGATAGATCTTCTTTCTGGAAAGCAGAGAAGACAGGTTTGTCTATAGAGGTTTGTAATTTCGCTGAAAATAATACGCAGCGAGATACAAAGGTATGAGAAAATTTCAGACGTAAAATGCATATTCCCAAAGAACACACAACAATATGTCTGACTCTTTGGCTTTTGTTCATGTGCATAGGGCTTAGGAAGTTCGAAGACTATATTAAACTTGCCCTTTTGCTCTGTTCCTCTCCCTGGTCCTTACTGGAGGCACATTGCTAACCTACACCAAATAGTTTTGGTCAGATTTCCATTCTTCTCATTCATGTAGATAATGCAGTTGTTAATGAAGGGCAATAAGCAACGGACGCAGGAGCCTACAGCAGCCAACCGAACATCCTCACGCTCCCATGCGGTGCTGCAGGTCACCGTGCGCCAAAAGAGCCGCATCAAAAACATTATGCAGGAGGTGCGCATAGGCCGACTCTTCATGATTGACTTAGCAGGCTCAGAGCGGGCTTCTCAGGTATGGATGTGGAGGAGAAAAGGCCAATCGCCTCAAAAGGAAAAACACACCCAAGGGGGTGGGGGGGGAGAGAATGAGAGAGAGAGAGAGAGAGAAAGGAGAGGAGAGAGAGATTAGGGAAGCAGTAAGATAGGAAGTGCTTGGTGATGAAACCTCAGTATTGAAACAGCCTTTGCAGTGGCAGACTGGAAACTGGCTAACTTCCAATTTGGGGGGATGGGTTTGCATGATTACTTTGCTGAAAGTCCTATAAGTGCGATATTGTTATTGATGAATGTTTTATTGAGAATAAACTCTCCCGTGTCTGTTTTACAAGACTAAAGGGATAACCCTATTCTCAGGGATTTACTTTCTAAAACATCTACACAAAGAATGGAGGGCAGAAGGCAAATGAAAAAACATACTTAACTAGAAAAGCAGTGAAAATTGCAGCTATATGCACTGAGTTACAGAAAGTTAATTTGGTGAAGAGAGTTGTTTCAAAAGGTATTCATCCTGAATTCAATTGTCAGAGAATATGAAATAAGAATAAATGTAAGAGCAGCTCTTTAAAGAATGATAGAGTTGTTGAACTATGACCAACCAAGATGGGATGGTTTTGGCTCAGACAGTTAGCTCATCCTGCAAAGAAAAAGAAAGCAAATCTCTCCCAAAAGCTTTGAATGAGGACAGGATGCAAATATAAAGTGTCCATTTTTCTCATTTTATTTGCATGGCTATTATCAAGATAGCCTCCATTTCTCATATTTCCATGTAAACCCTATTCTCCTTCACCTTGATATTATTACCTAGCCTGTAATGAAACATCTATAAGAATACAACCAAGGTCTTTCTATCAACCAGGTTCTTTCTATTGATAGAAAGAAATATAATTGAATAAAAGTGAAGGGAGAAATAATGAGAAATTTGGAAAAGATATATACATGCCTAAAAATGCTTAAATGGAAATGTGATAATGTGGAACTATGTCTTAAAAAATAATGTTTTATTTGTCTTGTTAAAACTTATAAGTAATTTTTAGAAAGGAGGTTTTATGCTTTTATGTCTTATGTTTTGTTTGTCTTTAAAAAATCAATAAAATTTGTTTAAAAAAAAAGAATACAACCAAGGTCAGAGAGTACCCAACAGTTCAACCCTGAGCTACATATGTTCTCTTATTATCTGAACAAGAAGGTTAGGTTACAGTGATGTAGAACAGGCATTCCCAACCCCCAGGCCCTGACCCACTACTGGGCCTTGGACCATTCAGAACTGGGCTTGTGTGAGAGACAGGCCCTTGCACAAGCATGCAAAGCTCCATTTGTGTGAGAGACAGGCACTTGCCCAAGCGTGCAAAGCTCCATTTGTTTGAGCAGCAGGCACTTGCACTCATGCATGAAGCTCCATATGTGTGAATGATGGGCACATTCTCCCACTGTTTGTGCAAATGAAACTGCGCACGCTATGTGTGTGCCTGCCACTCACACAGAACTATCCCCTTTCCCCCTGCCACCAAGCTGCCAAGTCGGAAAGGTTGGGGACCGCTAATGTAGAAAAGGGCAGTCTTTCCTTGAAAGAAGAGAAAAAAAATCCAGAGAATTAACCAGGCTTATTATGACATTTGGATTGAAATTTGCTATTAGTAGAGTCTCTAAAGAGTCATCTGGGGATATCTTGGACTCTCAATCATACATTCAAATCTTAAGAATATTGCTATTATGGATACAGTCCTATTTATCTGGCACTTCTAAATAACCAGTTTGAAATGATAAATGCTAATAAAACTGTATTGGGACTGAGAACTTGGTAGAATATTCATGCTTCTCTTCAGTGAACACAGGCTTCCTATATGCAAGAATAGCAACAGCAATAGCACTTAGATTTATATACCACTTCATAGTGCTTTACAGCCCCCTGTAAGCTGTTTATAGAGTCAGCATAATGCCCCCCAACGATCTCATTTTATTGACCTTGGAAGAATGGAAGGCTGAGTCAACCTTGAACTAGTCAGGATCAAACTGCTGGCAGTCGACAGAGTTAGCCAGCAATACTGTTTTCTAACCACTGTGCCACCACTGTTAGTCAAAGTATCATTCTTTAGAAATTTATGGATATGTCATTAATAATATAGTTTCCATCCAGTATTTGGATCAAGACCTTTTTTGTTTCAATCTCCTCTTTGTTTGGGTCACCATATTTCAACTTATATCAGGAACTTAACCTGATTCCTGATAAGATCTACTTTCCATCAGTTTTTTTTCCCCCTGTGGTAAAAGCAGCTTAAATATTAGTGACAGCAAAATTATGACAGGGAAGGTATATTTCAATCTGACCCCAGAATTATATCTCAGAAAAATAGGGCTTGCCTCTGGAGTGGTCTGTGTTGGAATGGCAATTTCATTCTCCTGTCCATTCTACATTTTCCACCTCCCTAGACGCAGAATCGTGGACAGCGTATGAAGGAGGGCGCTCACATCAACCGGTCTCTGCTGGCTCTTGGCAATTGCATTAATGCGCTCAGCGACAGGACAGGTGTCAAATATGTTAATTACCGGGACAGCAAGCTTACTCGCCTTCTCAAGGTAGGCTTGGCAAAAAAGCAGAGTGTGTGAATAGCCTAAAAAAAGCTATGTATTTTCAATAGATAGGCAAAACAGAGTAGAGAGATTGGGGGGGGAGGGGGTATGTTTGTGTCAATATGCGTCTAATTGTGCTATCCCTAAAAGTGGAATGAAATGTTCCAATGAACAAAATAGCAATCTGGTTTGTTTTATTTGGTCATAAGTTTGATATAGCCTGCGTTCCTCTGTGGTAGAACAGAGAAAAGGAAACATGTATGGCAAGAGTAATTTAAACTGTAACTGAGTGAGATGGAGAAGAGATGAGAGTTGATATAGTGGACTTATATAAGACAAGCAATGTTCACACTTACCTATTTGTACAGTATAGACATGATGGCTCAAGGTACAGTTTCAGGACCCTGGAGAGTTCCAAGCAGATAACTATGGCTACAACTTAAGAGTTCAAATTAAAGCTTTTATATTTCTTGAGCCAGACTCCCAAAGTGTTCATAGCTGAAAACTAAATATTCAAATACCTAGTATGAAGAGTGTGGTTCCCTAAGCAAACCTGGCTTAAAAAATGTGTGCTGGGGATCCTGCTTTGATGGGATTGGGCTTGATCTAGTCAGATCAGGTTTTGTATTAAAGCATGGATTTAGAATCATCATGGCCTACCTGAGTGTATGTGGTTCCTCCTTTTCTGCAGACAGAGTTCTGACTGCTGCTGAAAGTCCGGTATGGCCTCCTCGCATCTTGTGTTCAATCCTGTGCTTTCTATTTCCAGGATTCTCTAGGTGGGAACAGCCGTACAGTCATGATTGCTCACATCAGCCCTGCAAGTAGTGCTTTTGAGGAGTCACGCAGCACCTTGACCTATGCTGAACGTGCTAAGAATATCCGCACCACGGTAGGATGCCGCGTTCTTGGCATTTTGTTGCTTCTTCTGCTTTGTCTAGAATTCCAATTCTTGGAGGTCGTTCAGATAACACAGTTTGTTTCACCTGAATCCAAACAGTTCTCCAGTCTTCCAGATCCGGTCATCGAAAGATGATTACTTCTAGCCTTACCATCAATATATTTTCTAATCAATGCAGGAGCTGGGTCTGGTAAGGCAGGAACCAAAATTGGGCAAACCAGCATGTAAGCATTGAAGAAATGCCTTCCAATCACAAGGATAAGTAATTAATGGCCAGATGTAATTTTAGGCGGGAGGAAAAAGCATACAATTGAAATCTCAGAACAAATAGAACATCTCAGAACATCCTTGTGTTCTACAATTGACAGATCTTATGTATATATGTGACTTCTGTCTTAATCTGTGATAAAGTCATTTATCTAGCTATGTTGTATCACTACATTGCATAGGGTCTCCTGCTTGAACGAGTTTTAAGTAAGTTCCTGAATATAGAATTGAGAATTAGGAGTCAAGATTTATTGCTATATAAACACATAAACATGAAATAGCTTTGGAGCCATGGCAGTAGCTTGAGATATTGTGCAACAAGCTTCGAGATATCAACCTGCAATCTCTCTCTCTCTCTCTCTCTCTCTTTTTTAATCCTTCTCATGACAAGCAAAAGCTCATTGTAACACTGCCTGGTCCATGGAGCTGATTGAGGAGGATGGCATCGATAATTACAACAAAAATATGACCAAAAAAGCCTTCTTTATGCACAGATTCAGTTGCAAAAAAAACCAAAAGAAAAATAATTACATAATTACAATCAAATTATAATCCTCATAATTACAATAAAATGACAGAGTTATTTGCCCCTTGAGGTTCAGTTGATTCCTTCTTGCCTTTTCCTATGGTAGATAGATAGTAGAAAGTCTCGAACTGTCTGGGTCTTCTTACGGTAATTAAACAGTTGATTTTCTAACCAATGTTTTTATGTTATATACTGATTCTGACTCTAGCTTCATTACTATTTTATGGAATGATCTAGTATTTGAAAAGCATCAGCCCTATCAAGTAGATCACACTGAGAAATAATGTGCAGACCTGAAGTTGTATTAGAACAACTATAGCAATAGAATCTTAGAAGTCTGAATGTGCTTCCTTGTGTGCATCTTCATGAGAATTAAGAGGGGGGATAATGGTGGTTCTGAGATGCTTTCAAACTTACTTTCTTAGCCTGAATTTTAATTCTCGTTTACCTGATTGTTGCCTTGGTCATGGATCTTTTCTCTATTCTTCAAGGCCATTCTCTTTACTCATTACAACAAGATATTTAATTGTTTGTAAGACTCTGGATTAGTGAGCCTTAAATAATTAACTAGTCTTGGATGTTGCCAGAGTCTCCTTGGACACCCAACGTTCATTTGGTCTCTCTCTCTCTCTCTCTCACTCTCTCTCTCTCTCTCTCCCTCCCTCCCTCCCTCCCCCCCTCCCCCTCCCTCTCCCTCCCTCCATCTCTCTCTCTCTCTTTCGCCTGACAGGTGAAGCGCAACCATCTCAACGTCACCTACCACATTGCTCAGTACACAAGTATCATTGCTGAACTCCATCGTGAAATTCACCGTCTGCACTGCAAAATTGAGCAACAGGAGCCCCATCCAATGCGGTCAGACATCCGGAGTATTCAAGGTAGGCTGAGTTGCTGATGCAACATGAAGATAACTGTAGAAGATGCCTATGGCATTTCCCCCCGACAAGAATTGCAAGAATGTTCAAGAACAAATCTGAAAAGTGCTGGAAATGTCATCAGATATCTGGCTCATACTACCATATGTGGTGGACTTGTGAGGACGCTAGAAAATATTGGACTAAAATTTGCATATGGTTGGAAAAAATGACAAAGACACATATAGACTTGAAACCAGAGATATTTTTATTGGGAATCTTACCTAATTTATATAATAAAAATTTGAAGTATTTGATTGTAAATGTATTAACAGCGGCTAGGATTGTATTTGCTAAAAACTGGAAGAGTGAGAAAACTCCATTAGAGGAAGAAATTATTAAGAAAATATTGGATTGTGCTGAAATGAGTAAATTGACATTTGAAATTAGAGAACAAGAAGATAAACAATTTTATGAAGTTTGGGATCTTTTTTATCAATCGTTAGATAATAAAACATAATAATAGAACATTCAGACTTAGCATATAATTTTTTTTCTTTTTTTTTGATATCTTTATAAAACATCAAGATAGATTTGGTATGATCTTATGATTTATTGCAAAATAAATTAAGTAAACTATAGTTATCTCGTTAAAGTATGAACTAATAAAATTATAGATAAATGATTTTTTAGTGATGATATTAGGTTATACAATTATTGATTGATAATATGAACTATTATGTAATATAATTATATTAGTGACTAGGAAATGGATGCACAAAAAAAAAGTGATAAACCAACCAATGCACTGTTTGTAAATTTATGAAGAAGGATGATGTTTTTATGTTTTATGTGGTATGTCTATGTTGTTTTGTTGTTAAAATAAAAACCTTTAAAAAAAAACTGTAGAAGATGCCTGGAAGATGAGGTTATCCCTGTATGAAGTATGGCTAACCTCATCTTCCAGAAATCTTCTACAACCAAGCAAGAATCAACAAGGAAAATCACAAGCAGGATGTGACCACAGATACCTCTTGCTAATGTTCCTTAGCAATTAGACATTATACAGAGGCATATTTTACTTGGATGCATTGGATGCTTTAATGTTAGAAGTGATATGCCTCTGTATAATGCCTAAATGCTAAGGAACATTAGCAAGAGGTCACAACTGCTTGTGATTTTCCTTATTGATACTTGCTTGGCCACTATGAGAAACAGGACACTAAAAGATACAGGCTTTTTGCTTGATCCAGCACAATTAGTCTTACATTACACATTCCTGAAGCATTCCAGAAACATGCCTGCCATGGCATCTTGATACCTATAGAAAAAGAAGAAAGGGAAATGCGGATATATGTTTGGGTCATGGATTGAGTAGGGTTGGCATTTCTGTCTTATGGATGAAAAGGGATCTGATTGGTAGGTTTGATGAGGCACTGAAAGTTTTGAAAAAGTCAGGCGCAGGCAATTAGACAGAAAGCATGGTTGAAATAGTAAGGCATGGAAGAAAGGGAGCAAAAACTTGGCTATTCTGTAGCTTCATTTCTCTTAGCGCTTTGATTGGATTTCCCGTATCAGTTACACTTCTTTTCTCCACCTTTTGTATAGCCGAAGTACAGCTCCGTGGGAATCACTTTGAGAGGCAGGAGATGGATCGGCTCCGGGAACAGCTGATCAGCACCTTTCGGGAACAGATGGATGTGCGTCGCCACCTCATGGAGTTGGAAAATAATTACATGGAGATACAGATCGAGAGTTCTCGCCATCTCCTCACCATTGCTGAGTAAGCAGACAGTAGGGAACAAACAGGACACACTCCTAGGACCTTGGTCGTGCAATTCACTGTTTTCCATCAGCTTATTTTGAGAGCTTAGACTAGATGTGTCAGTTGCCTGTCATTTGCTGGCTCTTGATCATAAGGCATTTCTTCAACCTTTCTTTCTTCCCTTCTTGGCAGTTGGGAACAGGAGAAGACACGTCGAGCGCAAAAGTGGCGAGAGGAGCAACGAAAAGAGAGTTACAACAAAGATGAAAATGAGAAGGACTCTGACACTGGGGACGAACTCTCGGATGTGCCAGAGCCACAGGAAGTGGCAGCAGCTCGGGAACACATCGCTATTCTCCTGGGGGAGCAGGATAAACTTCATAAACAGAAGGTGTCAAAAGCTGGTGGGGTGGACAGAATATTAGCTAAAGGAAGGGAGGGAAGGGAGAAGGGATGTTGCAACTTTATAGTGTGGAGCAGTCTGCAGTCAGCAACATTCCTCCCATCCGGTATCCATGGCTTTCACTGGCTCTGTGACTCTGTACCTCTTCTCTGTGCCAGGCAGAGCTGGAAAGGCGCTTCTGGGATATACGGCAGTGTGGGCAGCGGCTAGAGGAGGCCTTGCCATGGTGCATCAGCTCAGAAGAGCAGAGAGAGGTTCTGAGTTTGCTGTGTAAGGTACATGAACTGGAAGTGAAGAACACAGCCATACAATCAAGTACACTTCTCAAGGACAACTTCATCCGTCATCAGGAGAGAGCTGTGCGTCGCTTTGAGTGCTATCGCAACCTCTGTCACCGCATCATCCAAGAACAGCGACAGATCATTCATGGTATGGCTACCTACGCTGCCCAGTGTAGATCAGTTTTTCCCAATTTAGTGCCCTCCAGAGGTTGGATTCTAATTCCCAGCTGAGTAGAACTGATGTAGATTAGATAGATAGATAGATAGATAGATAGATAGATAGATAGATAGATAGATAGATAGATAG